CCAGCACTGCCTGAATCCTTCATCCCTCCCTTTACTCCTCCCTGGCTCACCCACAATTTCCCAAGTCCCTCTTGCTTTCCCCCAGGACTGCCCAGTTCCCCCTGCAGATCCCTCATCCCTCTCTTTGACCTCCCCAGCCCGCCCTCCATTCCTCACCCCTTCCAATGTCCCTGCTCCACCCTCTGCTCTCCCTTCCTTCCCTGCCTCCACCCGCCCATCTCTACACCCCAAATCATTCCCTGAGTCTCCTCAGTCTCTCCTGTGGTTCCCCATCCCTGCCTGGGGCTCTCCCTATTTCCACGGGGTCTCGCCATTGTCCCCACATCCCAACATGCCTCCCAGGGTCCCCTTCTGCTCACTGGGATCCTCTCTGCTCCCCTCCAATGTCCCCTCTTTCCCCTCCCTTGTCCCCCACCATTCCTGGGTCCCCAGTCCCTCCTGTGTCCCCCTGTCGGTGTCCTGCTCTCGGGGGTCTCCCTGTGGGTGCAGCCCCCCGGGGGACAGGTGGCACTGGGGGACCGCCTGGTGCTGAGCTGCACGGTGGCCATGGGGACAGGTCCCCTGTCCTTCTCCTGGCACCGGGAGGGCTCAGGGGCACTGCCGGGCACCGGCCCCCAACTGGAGCTGCCCCACGTTGGGGACAATGACAGCGGCCAGTACCGGTGCCGGGTCAGCGACGGGGACAGCGTGGCCGAGAGTGACCCCCTGAATGTCACCGTGGGGAGCTCCAGCCATGACTCTCCTTGACCCCCTCCCCACACACACCTCAGACCCCCCCTTATCCTGCAGGCCCCCCCCAGAACCCCCTTATCCCCTGGGGGAGGGGGAGGAGCTGGACACTGAGCGGGCAGGGGGTGAGTGTGGGGGATGGGTGGGGACACGGCCCTGTCACCCATGGGTGTCACCCCAAGCCAGGCGTCTCTTACATGGCCCCCCAAGGACCCCGAGGTGACCCACGCAGAGCTGCCAGGACCACATGGGCGACTGCAGGACACCAGTGACACCTGTGGGAATGTGCTGTGATACTGGGGGACACTGGGACTCCCCATCCCGTGGCTCCCGTGCTGGCCCATCCTGCCCAGAGAGATGACCACCAGTCAGGGGGGGCTGCACAGGGCACCCAGTGCTCCCCTTTCCCCCTCCCAGTGCTCCCAGTACACCCATGGCTTCCCAGGCTCCTCCCAGTGACAGAGGTCACAGCACCCATTTCCTTCTTATTTCATAAAAAATGCAGCTTTTTGGTTAAACTGGCAGAAATGGAGTTTTTCAGCTTTGTTGAGCTTTCGGAATGGGATTCTCCAGTTCTGGGCTGCCACTAAAACCAGGGGCTGCTGCCCCTCCCTGTGGAGGCACAAAGATCCCAAAGGGCTGAGAGAAGAACAATTTCCTGAAAAGTAACGAGAGAACAAAACCAACAGCAACAGCAACAAGGTTCAGAGTGCAAATCGTCACAAAAGGAACAATTTCCAAAAAGGAACAAACCCCAGACATTTCCCCCAGCACATTTACTCTGCCAGAGGAACCTGGCAGGGCCCTGCACCTTCACTGCCCTGATGGCCAAAGTGGCCTTCAGGAGGCTCTGGGTTCTCTTGTCCCCTGTCCCCAACCCCTCCTCTGCCGTGTTCCCCACTCCAGGATGGCACCAAGGCCCTGTGGGGGTTCCAGAGCCTCCCCGTTTTCCGGGGCAGTTGGGATCAGGCCATGGCACAGGGTGGGGTGTCAGAGACAGGAAACCTTTGATGTCTGGAGACATTTTGGAACACCTGTGAGTGAGAGGGGTGGGTCAGGCCTTGCTTTTGGTGAGACAAGGCCCCGTCTCTCTGACAGTCTGTCAGCCATGGCACACTGGGGACAGTGTGACACTGTGCCAAAGCCAGTTCCTGAGTGGCCGGGTGACCAGAAGTGCCACCTGGGCAGAGAGCCCTTGGTGGCCCTACTGGCTTAAAAAGGCAGAGCATGAGGTGGCCAAATCGTGGACCCTGACTTCTCTTGGGGTGTCTGTGCATCCACGCTGGAACCCAGGATTTGGCAACTCATTTAAATGAGAAATATCTGTGAAAGTGCACGGTGAGCACCCCACAGCTAGAACTCCAATCTCCTGACACCCCCCAAAGATACTTCCCAGCAGACTCAGAGTCACAGTCCTCACCTCCCCTCTCCTTCCCAGAGCTCTTCTCGGTGCCAGTGCTGGAGGGTCCCCCGGAGCCCACCGAGGGGTCCCCCCTGACTCTCAGCTGCCTCAGCACCCCCAGCCCCCTGCGGCCCCGAGCCCCCCTCCTCAGGGAGCGCCCAAAGACCCCCCGGATCCCATGCCTAGGTATGTCCATGTGCTCCAGACACGTCTACTGGGTCCCCCAGTATCTGCCCTGTGGCCCCTCATCCCTCTGTGGTGTGACCCACCCCTGATATCCTCCGTTACACACAGCCTCCCATGTCCATATACCCTCTCCCCCCGCCAGCTGCCAGCCCCTCCCTGTGGCCTCAGCCCTGTCTGTGTCCCCACAGTGCCCGTGGCCAATGCCACCATCATCCCCGGTCCCCTGGCACACCAGGTGCACACAGGTGACAACGTGACCCTGCGCTGCTCAGTGCAGGTGGGCTCAGCCCCTGTCACCTTCACCTGGCTGCACAACGGGCAGGAGGTGGCCCCGGGTCCCTTCCTGGACCTCAGGAACATCGATGTGGGACATTCGGGCACC